CAAACGTAAGTAATTACAGGTCTTATTATATCATCACAAAGCTTACTTATCTATCTATAATTTCCTGTTATAATTTTATGAGGTTATGTTAGTCTGACGTTTTTGTATAATATTAAGTATAAAATATTCAAGTTGCCGAAGTTGGACCGAAAACAGTTGCCGAAATTGGACCGGTTCAATTTCGACAACCACATTACAACTTCTAGCAGTGATGATGAAGAAGATAGAAGTGACAACGAGAGTAAACAATTTAGGAGAGTTCTTGAAGAAATATCACCGCGAGCAAAGAAAAATCAAAATCCAGACGGTCCTTCGTCTTCTTGCAGTGCGCCAATAGCCCAGAAAGCAGTGAAAGTAACAAGCAGCCCTTACAAATCGCAGTTAGACCGAATAAACTTTAAAAACTTTAAAAAAATAAGTTCACCAAACTTTGACAAAATGCCAAAACATAAAAAAGAAAATGGTGGTTCATGGTTTTGTACATTGTGTGAAAAAAACCAAGGAAGAAGATATGATACAATCTATGAAATGTCGCATTTGGATTCATACTTCGTGTACTGGAGTTAGTACTGCAGTTAAAACGTTCTACTGTTGTAATTGTCGTTAAAAAAGCTAATGGTCCAATTTAGGAAGCTAGCGGTCCAAATAAGGAAACCGGTTTCCTAAATTGGACCAATAACAAGATTTTTTTGAATTTATTTTTTATTATTATAAATGATATTTAAAATTTCATAAATGGTTTTATTTTGAAGCTACACTTAATGAGTTTCTTTTCTACTACTTAATTTTTATTAATACTCCTTCCATGCTTTTATATAGTGAATAATATAAAATTGGTCCAAATTAGGCTACCTTCCCCTACAACTGTATACTTCTAGTACTGCTTGTATATTTCATTACTAAATTTTGTGGAGGCTGTAAAAGACATTATAAATATTTATTATTTGAAAGCCATAACGTAATTAATTATTTACGTAAAATGATTACTTTAACAAGTAGGTAATTTGATTTTACAGGTATGAATATATTCTTTGAAATAACACATTATCGCCATCTGACAGTATATTGTAAAACTAGAGAAATAGAAAATTCTTGTTTTCACAAAGGGCGAAAATTAAAAAAATTGTTTGCAAAAGAAGATATCTGTAAAACGGTTTTTGGTGGGTTTTTAGGATAATGGAACAAGTGGCGCTACCTTACAGAACAAAGTGAACTACAGAATTGTGAAATTGTAGTTTAATTAGTTCTCATCTTGTACCGGCACATAAGATAGAAAACAGGCTAATTAGGATTAGCCTAAGAATATTTAAAAATTGATAATTGTTTGGCAAAGTAAAAACAATTCGAAGTTAATTGGTCTTGCACTTCAGTTTAATTCAATTCATACGCTAATAAAATCTACATTAATTGAATTGTACTGGAAAAAAAAACGGTACATGTGGCGCCATTTAGCGGCGGCGCATAGAAGCTAATGGAATTACAGTTTCAAAACCGTATAGTTCGCCCTGCTCGCCGGAGAGATGGCGCCACTTGTTCCATTTTCGTGAAAATTCAATTAAAATTGATTTTATTGGCTTAATTTACTATAATATACATCAAATTATGTCGGAGTACAAGACATAATTAACTTCGGAATATGTTGCCTTTACCAAACCATTATCAATTTGGCTTGTCTTCGGAAAACCCTCATGCTCTAAATTTTGCCACATCTTCTAAAAGTTGGCCAATGATCATAGTAGTCGAGGCCCATATAAAATCAATCAATCAATTTTCCAAAAGAAAATCACAACTTTTTATTTCGGTAGTTTCGCAGCTATTTACTAGACGACGCCAGTGGTATCTTTCTCAGATTGCGCGCGTGAAAATTTAACTGTTTAAATATATGTAAGTACAAAGCTAAGAAAATGCTTTCAACTTTATAAATTAACTACCTTAAAATAATCTGTTACCTTCCCTATCTCCCCCACATATTAAATCACCACAGTATTTCAGTTATAAATATGGATTTCAATATAAAATTCAGTTATAAGTGTTCTGATGTAGTTCATCATTGCTTGAATATTATTGTTGATAATTAAAACCGGTTCAGCAATTCAGATTTGCAATTGAATATATTATCGTACATATTATTTCCGCGATCGATATTTTAGTACATAGGACAAAATCTACTGATTTACCGACATACATTGAACGATAACGATAATCAGAGCGTTGTCATGTTACTGTAAAAATAGCGGGCTCACAAACTGAATCTGACATATAAATAGAGACACAGACGAAAAAGTCTACTAAATGTCACGGTGTTTTGTCTGCTATGTGACTTAAATAAACTTTAAACACTCTGCGCTAACGAACTTTGTGCTACGAATAAAACGCGTATCGCCTTCACAGCCGCTGTCACGTATTCTTTTCCCTAATTTTAATCCACTTTATTACATTTCAATTACGATTTAGGAATTAATTATTTTTTAGAAGAATGCGTCGATTTACTACTTTATTAAATTATAGAAAGAAAAAGGTACACACATTGTTTTAATACGTATTCAGAATCGCTATTAACATTTGGCAACCGTGACACTTTTCTCGATCTTCTGCCCGGAAGATATTTTTGTAAAAAGAACTTTCATATTTTTGTAAAAATTAAATAAATTAATTTGCATTGTTTTTGTTCTTGGTCTACAAAAGCAGTGCGGCATAGAAAGTTGAACAATGAATAAAAATTATACCAATGAGTCAAATATAGGTTAGACTGCTATAAAATTTGGTTAATTTAACGTAACATTCAATATAACTTCGAAAAGTCATACTAGTTTCACATAACTATCTCCACGGTCTTTCTACCATTACCGATAATTTCACAGAAAAATATTCCAACAAAAATTAAGTCGTTTAAATTCAATTATGAATTGCACTATAAAAATATTCAAAATACCATTTTCTTTATAAAAAGAACTATATAAGAACTGCTTATAAGAAGTACCGTAATATTAAAAAAAGTTGAACCTAATGTACTATGCCGCTGAAATAACCTAGCATTTAAAGATAAAGTTTTAGTATCAAAATGCAAAAAAAGCACATAATTTGAAAACATACAAACCACCCACTTTTATAAAAAGAATTTTTTGGGCCAGTTTTGTGTGTTCGAAATATTAAACACGGAATTGAAAGGTCCTTGAACTTGTGTAAGAGTTCATTGACAGCGAGTAATCTTCTCAAAGCGAAAATGTAAACAGTATCAATATTTGTACATGGCTGAGTTTCTACTCTTCTCCCCTCTTCTATTTCTAAAGGGCCGTGAAATTCGCGAGTCCTTGTGAATTGACATTTCACAGGACAGTATTTTCTTGACTGTTGTGCCAGCAAGACCGTGCATATAAGATGTTCATATTTTAACGAACGTAAGTATTTTCGAAAATTTGTAACCTTTTAAAAATATTATTGAATTTATTTTTTAACGTAACGTTTGCAAAACTATTTGTTCAATAAATAAACGAGCTAAATGTTTTGTTTAAGTGTATATATGAAGTGCATGACTTAGTAATGTAAATTGATTCTATATTCAAAAATAAATAAAACATGAAGAACAACATTCTATAAAACAGGTTTCGAAGAGGAAAACATTTTAACTTCGTTAATTTACTAATTAATGTTACAAATCAATAAATGTAATTAATTGTATCGTTAAACTGCATTATCAGTTATTATTTTTCGTGGCATTGGAATTGATTTAGTCGGAAGAATGATAAATACACGCGCAAGTAATATCATAAAGGATATTGAGTAATAATACATTTCAACGATATTAATATAAACTTTAATCATTTACATTCAATACTATAATCACTGTGTTTAATTAATAGTAACAGGACAAAATGAAATAATTATCTTTCGCGTCGTAAACACATTCTCTTTCGATAAATTTTCAAATTCAACTTTTTCGATAAACGAGATTGCATATTGAAACTATTGTTCTACATTTTTCATTTATTTTTGCACGTAGAGCCCCCAATAAGAAATATTCAATTCGTACATTGGAAAATTGGTTTTAATTAAAATATTAGATATTTTATCGTTTTCAAATCATATGTATGTTTTAAAGAAAATCATGAACTATTAATTTATAGTATAACTGTTAAATAATTAAATTATAGTTTAGGATTTTGTACTGTCTCTAGTAATATAAAATATAATTAGTAACTAAATATTATTTTTTGACTAGATATAAGCAAATAAATATATTAAAGATTTTAAATTTGTAAAAGTTAAAATTGAAAAGTGGTAAATTGAGATATGTAAATCTTACCTTGAACTTAGTGTTTCTTGCGGTAGTAACGGAAACGGGAAATATTGTGAAGCCCGGGATATTACAAATTCGATACTGGTTAGCTATGGCCCTTCAAGGTGGTTTATATAGGAAAATTCTCTCACTCTATTTGTAAAACTAATTAAAACACCCCTTCTCTATCTATCTACCCTTATCGGTTATATTTGATCGATAAATTGTAAAAGTTTATAATACCTTCATCGTACCTAGTAATAACGAAACTAGTGAAAACACTAATTATTATGAAGTAATATTATATCGAAGTCTGTCAATTATGAGAAATTATATAATGAACTATAATTGAGACGTTAGAAGTTTCTACAGGGTTGTTAAATACTCAAGATGATGATGACCTACGTTTCACGAGATAGAACGATATTCCTCCTAGTTAATTAATCATTCAAAAAACTCGGCATTGATAATACAATAAATTACTGTAATCATCGTGTAAATTTTCATTTAATGCAATTACCAGGAATTGATTCATTTGTTCGAATGATTATTTTATGTTCTTATAAAATGCAATTTATAAAAATATTTTGAATTATTATAATTATGCAATTAGGTATTATTAATTTTTCAATGTTCGTGTTTGTAAATATATAATTTTACCCATCAAGAATTTTCGTAATGATTATTTAGATCATATTATGTTTCAATACATTTTACTATAATCATTCTTTGTTTGCAAAATCATATTAGGAAGTGAAAGAAGTTATTAAATATTTTAGTAAATGACTTACTATGCTTTAGATAGTATTAAATAATAATTAAATTTTTAGACACACTATTTGTTAATTAATTATTTGAAACTCTTTATTTAAATTCCTAAAACACAATATCATACGCCATAAAAATATTATTTTTCATTATGTTTCTGTTTAAAGTTTCTAAATGATTATCAATGTTTAATTTGGTTTAGTTTGATTGATTTGATTTAGTTTAATAAAAACCTTTATTAATAAAAATGAATAGATAAAATAACTCACAGCTATATGCATAGTTGTACGTACAACAAGTAATGCATGGATAATGTAAATGTAACATACGTTTTTTATTCGCTTAAATAAAATAGAATGATAACTAACAAATATTTTAGATATGATTATAAAAAATTAAAAATCAATTCCTTGACATACTTATTTATATAGCATATATTTGGTTCAGGAATGAATAGACTGTTATATTGTTTAACAATAACATTTATTTTTCAATTACTGATAAAAGCTTCGTGTATAAAACAGATCTTCTGTACATTTGTCATGTCGTTAAAGAGTACATTCAGTCTCCACAAATTTTTTACAATATCTCATTTAACTGAGAACTGTTAGTATTTCTTACATTTGTGTCAGAATGTAGTCAAAATGAATAGTTTTATAAGTCACTTTTATAAATAATACCAAGAATTTTTTAAATTTTGAATTTCATTTGGTATTACCATCTTCTTATATCATGGCAATTTGCAAATCTTTATAAGAGCAACCATAATTAAAATAAATTTATCACACAGTGATATTTTAAGAGCCTGATATCAAAAGACATAGTCCGTGTTATTTTCTTATTCTATAGTGCACATACTATTAAATACTCAATCACTCATAATTATTGAAATTTTAGAAAACATTAATGATATCATTGGTTTTACGAAACATGCTTGTAAAAACAATCTTAATGAACAAATGATACCATTAACTGTTCGGTTCTTTATATTAAAAGCACGTACTAATTTCTTTGTCACTTAATAATATGTGTACTGTTTTCTATGGCAGGATCTAAAGTACAAAAGTCATCAACTGACTTTAATATCACAACAGCCTCGCCTAAGAAACTATGTCAATAACTAAATTGAAATAAAATCAATATCAAATATCGTGGCTCTATTATGCACTGTCTAAAGTTTTATTTTACAAATAAAAATTTAAAAAAAAACTACTTTTGCTTACTGAAATGGAGCTCAAATATGTGTCTTACTTAGAAAATAAAAAATAAATATATACAATATAATATTGAGTTGTAAATTGCATTTGTAATTCAAACGAAAATGATTAATTTTACATATTTGGTTTAAAATAAAACTCATTTTTGACTGTACACTTTGGCAATATACTAAAAGATAATCTATAATTATTCATTAATACTATAAAAATTATGTTATTATTTGTGCAACAATTTCGATTTTTCATTAAAATAAAGCTTAACTACAAAATACTAATTTTTTTAACAATTCCTGTTTTCATTTATTACAAAAATTTTTTAATATTCTAACTTGATAATATAATTATAATGTATTTGTATTATGCATTTGATAACATAACAAAACTTTAGAAGAGTATTTCTAGTAGTCAAATATATCTTAAAAATAATAGTATAACAAATTGTAGATTTAATTAAAAATTTAAACGCAAGTACTTGACTCTTTAATTTCAGTATTGTAACTATTAAAATTAGTAATTTCAATGTCTTTTTTTTATAATTTCAATAAAATGCTAAAGCTTTTATAATAAAAAAAGTTATAAATATTTTGTTTCATTTGATAAAACCAATTGAATGTTTTATCAATTTACAGCCCAATATTTCTGCCTGTGCAAATATGCGATATATTACTTCTATAGTTTGTATGTTTTAATAGCAGTATTCTTTGAAAAAAGTGAGTATTACTTATTGAAAATTAATTTGCGATATAAAACCACGATTAATAATTACGATTTTGTAGATATACGCCACATTCGTACTACAGCTTACATAATCAGTTTATCACATCTTACATGCCACAATTTGATGTCATAACTGAATTTATCAATTAGATATATTATCTTCTTGTTAATGGCCTCAAAAACATTATATGGCACCTTTGTTCGCACAATACACATTGAAAAACATTCAGAATTTATTCACGCATCACTTCTGAAAGAGTCATCCGTTGTTAAATTTACTGAAGAATTCCTACTATCAGCTGAACTCATTGCAACATAACGTCTTCTAAGTATTTCTTGTAAATCGTTACATGGACTGTTGTCACGTTTTATACGAAGAGGCCCTCCTCCAGGAGACCTAAAATAATGTATGCAATGTCATGCAACCTATAATAAAATGTAATAGCACATACAGTAATCATCATTACTTAGCAATTGGCCTTAATTTGACATTATCAATATCTTTCAATACATCGGTCATGGATGCTTGAGATGTAAATGAAAACTTTTTACGTTCATCCACTTTATGATCTTGCAAACTTGCTCTTCTTGCAATATGTGGTGTTGGTGGTGGTAGCGGAGGAGGTGGTGGCGGTTCTGGGAGCGGCTGTTGTAACTGTGGTATATCATTATTCGTTCCATTTGCTAAAGAAGCAGTGGAGGTATCTGAAAAAGTTCAAAATAAAGTTGTGAAAGACTAAGTATTTTAAATATTTCATAAATGAACATTTTATGTATACATACATCGAGATTCTTTATTATTTTTTACTATTGCAGAAACTTGTTCCCTAAGTTCTTGAAGTTCTTGCTCTAATGCGAGTAATCTAATTTCAGACCCGAAACTAATTGGTTCCAATAAATCTGGTCTAATATTAGAAAGTCTGCTGTTAAAATTTACTAAGTTAATAAAGTACAAACTTGCAAAATAATTTATATATAGAATTTATATACATAACAACCTTGCAGGTCCATATCCATTTGTGTCTACATGGTCACTGCTAGTTTCTTCATTAATCATAGAACTTGTCATTGAATGTAAAGGTGTAACACTAACATATACCTTTGGTGGTGGTTTCAAAGGTAACATTGAACCAATCCTACGAACAATACTCCTTCTTTTCCCATAATATTTTGGAGGTGCACTCATCTAAAAGAAATATCAGTGCCAAGAAATTTAGACTGTAATAAAACTATTGCTACATAGATATAAGCATAGTTAAATTCTTATAATATATTAATTTAAAGTAATAGTATGATTATGTAAAATTAGTAATTCAATAGACAATAAACTGTGTATGGTTAGTAACACATGGCAATCATACACTACCTGTTTTGCCTATGAAAATAAAACGAACTCGCTTACCTTAGAAATTATTACTAGTCTTTCTAAAAATTGATTATTTTATTCTTGAATTGTTGAATCGTGACATTAACATGTACTGTATACCTAATAAAGTACATCAGGGTCATCCGAAATTCGAAATTAAAATAGCTTTACCATTGACGCAAAGCCAACATCTGACGACAGGTTGTCGTAATTCAAAGGCGCAAACTCCGATGTAAAGCGGCTTAAGCAAAATTATCGAAACTAGTTTTTCATCAACAACTTTTTCGCGTAAGAAGTCAAAATTGTGGTCTTTATTTTTTTCTTTCGTTTTTTAATGTTGCAATCGAAATATTATATATATCTATTCATATTATTTGTAAATTATTGATCTGAGAGTTAATAATAAACACTTCGTTTATTTTTTAATTGAAAAATTTTGAAATTTAAAACCTCTAAAATATTTAGTAAACTTCTAACTTTAAAAATTTACAAATTCTTTAGCGGAAAATTTCGAAATTTAGATATACAAATTTACAGATTTTTCAAATCACAAATTTTCAAATTTTTAAACTACAAAATTTACAAATTAAAAATTGTTATATGTGGAAACTTTCAAACACTATATAGAAAGACCTCTTTCTATATTGCTAATTGCTAGAACCTCGACTGCAGTAATGAAAGGAACATCTATAGTCATTACTATCCGCAAATGCATACTGTTTGAATGTTTGAAACTGCGCCCTTGCGGACATACTTGTCTATCACTGGTCTAATAATTATTTAGCCCCTTTATTATTCTTTCAAATCATAATAAATCCTACCAATATCTTATTAATATATTATTAATGAATAATCCAAGAAAATATAATTATCTATTTCTGCAACGTTTTGTGAAATAAAAATATTCTTACATAAGGTGATACTAACTGATGAATTATTATTTATAGACTAATGAAATAAAATTATATGTTTAATAATATAAATCAAGAATTTCAAATCCATTTCAAGTATAAATGCACAATTGAAATATTTTTAAAAATATAAAATCTTCATTTGTATTTTTGAAAAAATAAATGTTAAAAGTACTTTCCGTCTAACAAAATACGGTAATAATAGAAATCCTTTATTGTATCACGGACTCGAAGATAAATTTACAACAACAAATAAAAAATACTTATATTAAAAAGTGCGTTTAGGTTTATTTTTTTTCTAAAGAAAAATTATTCTCCTTTGCAACAGTGATTTTATTTATATTTCTTATCATGTTCTATTTCTGTACCAAAATTTTTAACATATTACTATATAGTATCATGTATGATCTTTACTTTTTATCTTCATATGATGAACAACAACAAATCATATGTTTATACATACACACACGCCCACGCGCGCACGTGTGTGTATATATATTAGCATATATGTATATTCACACAACTATCTAAAATAGTAACTACTTTAATGTACAATAAACTTTATAATATCTATTTTGGCATTCGGTATACAAACTTTTACATAATAATCATAGAACATAAACTTATTGTACACTTATTTATAAAATATTTACATTTTTCAATCTGATTCTACAGTTACGTATACATATATTTTTATTCGATTTAAAACATATGTATTTCTTGTGCATTATATATGGCACATGTTATAATTAAATTCATAGATCGTAAATTGAAAAATATTGTACAGTATGCATAACATAATCTGCAAATGCTTTGTTATTGATTATACATTAATGATTGTAAAAGAAAAAACCAAACTGCTTCAAATTACTGAAGAAGTACTTACTGTATTATAATGTTCATTTTTATTAACCTTTTTATACTTTGTATAATATGTACATACAATGTTATTTGTACAAATTTATGTACATTTATTTTATTAACAATTTCAAGTAAAGAAAAGAAAGAAACATTTGTGTTATGTATGGCTGTTTTATCAGTATGCAATTAAAAACATATTACATTGATGTATTTTAAAATTGATAAGCATAACTCAAAATAAAATAACAAAGATATCTGTAAGAAAATACTTTTGATAAAAAGTACCATAAAATCTGATAAGTTTTTGTAGACTTTAACAGTATATACTATTATTCTTTCTATTGACACCGACATATACTCTCAGAAAGTTAAAGAAATAAAAGTAACTAATCTCCAATTGTTATAATGAAAAATCAAAATTATTATTAATAACTGCGAATTTTGTATAATAAATACTACTTATATCATTTTCTTAAATATAAATGAAAATTTTACTGTACAAACTCGGTGTAGCATTAATTATAGTATTCATTTACATTATTACTCACAGCATGTAACTGAAATACAGAATAAAAATGAATGTAACCCTTAACCTGAGCAGAAAATAATATGCTAACATTGTACTCTAGTGTGCACAAGAAATATACTATGTTTAAGTAATATATATAAAATTTACATCCATTAGAGCCTTAACAGGATATTCATTCACAACCTCGTTAGGATAAATGTCTTGCGCAGGTTGTTAAATGTGCTTTACAGCTTTCTTTTTATTTTATTAATTCATTTCTAATAACTCATGAAAATTAATTATTTCATAAGCACCACTTCAACAGACTTAAAAGTTTTATTCTGTTATAGTCTGGTCGTTCGTAATCTTTCTGTTTTTATTAAACAATCTTTCTCTTAACAGATTTTATGTATATAAAAACATTAAAGCTCACTGCATATACAATCGCGTCGAGTGCAAAAATATCAAATGCAGTGTAAATAGGATAACCAGGCTTGTTGAATTTGACAATCTATTCAGTTTATTTAAATACTTATATTTCACTTAAAAGTTGAAACCTTTTATTATAATTCATCATCGATATGTTTGCTCTCATGTTTCTGTACATCACTTTCTTTACTTTCAATTTCAATTAAGTATTTTTGTCTACCTTCTAATTTGTTTTCTTCTACAGAATTTAAATCTCTATTAGAAGTTTCTCTTTCTTGTTGAGTATTAATAGAATCTTTGTTTTCCTCTTTTTTTGATGTCCACGTTTTCTTTTTGTAGTCTTCAAGTAAATTGAAAGATGTGATTTTATTAGTATTTACATTGAGATAAACGGAATGCTTAATATTTGGATTATTTTTACTACTACATTCCGACTCGGTTGACTCTTTCTCAATTTTTTCTGACGGTTCTTCTTTCTCATTTATTCCTGCCGCTTTAGCATTTGAAGAACTTATACGTCCGCTTATTGATTGAAAATCACTATCATCTAGTAAAGGTTCATTGATTTGTTTATCAATAGGATTGTTATTACTAATCAGTTCTTGAAATTCTACATTACTTAACTGCACATTTTCTAAAGAATTAGTAACTTTAGTGAAATCCGTCAAAGAATCCATATCTTTCGTAAAATCTTCAATTTTATTTTTAATAAACTCAATTTGATATTTTATTTTATTTTTTAGTTTGTCAGTTTTACTTTGGCTTTGAAGGGAAACATTTAAAATAACTTTATTCGAATTAACAGCTTCTTTACTAATATTATCTGCAGCATCTCTTGTAATATCGATCTGTTCTTGGTACTTTCGAATAGTATTTTGTTCCAAATTTTTAACAACTTTTTCTATTTCCGTTAATTTAAAGTATTCAAAATCTTCGAATTTTCCAAGTTTTATATCTTCATCCTTTTTAGGTATTCTAGATGAATCTTTTAATTTAATATCTGTTTTACTACTTTCACTGCTATCGGTCATAAATTCTGCGAATGTAGAGTCATACTCTTTTGTTTTCTTTAACGCATCAAATTTTTCGATACTATTCACATGTTTTTGCCAATTTTTAATTAGTCCTGCACTTATTATTTCAGAATATTCCTGATGCACTTCTTTATTAACGCGATCTAATAAAATGAAATGGTTAGTGGTACTTTCATCTTCTACATAAAAAATAACTCGTATTAATTGTTTCAACAATTTATCATTTTCAGCTCGTGCTATATTAAGTTTAAAAATTTCAAACATTTGTTCACTATTTAAACTCTCAAATCTTATTGCTTTTAGCATTGCATTAACCATTTTCATATTTAAGACCATAACATCTATCTTTGTTAATAAGTACTGTTTTATCAACTTTCCTTTATTATACTCCATTAATTGGTCCATTTTCATAATGAACGGATTTGGAAAAACTTTAGCCAGTTCTTTTAAGAACCATAAAACTTTCTCTCGTAAAGGTACCTTTAATGCATTGTTATTTCCACCCCGTGCTTCTACTATCCAATTATAATAACTTTCTAATATAAAACTTCTAATTTGTAAGCTTGCTTTTTGTTTTCTATTCAAATATATTTGATTGACAAACACTTCCTTCAATTGACGCCATTGTTTTTCTACCAACGTGTCGTCCTCCGATTTTTCCGCATTTATAGAGATGAACGAAGACGATATCCTTACTTCCCCGCCAAGTATATCATCGACTATTTCTGCACGTAGTTCATGAGAAACGACTACGTCTTTTGCATCTTCTTGCTTAATTTCAGGAGTTATATCCACATTTGTCCCACTGCTAGGAAATGTCTGTCAACAATTTAATATGTTTAAAAAGATATTCGCAAAAACCTAAAAAACAATTAATATTCCATAATGTTAAATGTAACAAAAATATCAACATAATTTTAGTATAATCATTATAAACATTAAACAAGAAACAATTTCTCTGAATTTGCATATAACGGCAGCATATCATTATTCTACTTATAAGTACAAATAATTTAATGTAATCATAAAATGTATCAAATTCCTTTCGTAATAAAGTCATCGTCATAAAAATATACATAATAAATTAATATAATTTCTAAAGTAATATTTAAAGTAATACAAACCTGTGGAATACCCATTTGTCGAGCAAGGAAAGATTTCAGTGATCCTTTTAATCGTTCAAACATTGATAAATCAGTAGGTGCTTTTAGCTGTACATCATCTTTTGAAAAGAAATTCCCTGCAGAAGAAAAATATAGCATATTTAAAACACAAATATCTTTTAATAATTGCTCATGTAAAGTAAAAATAATATACAATAGCGACAGGAAAATGTGACCATTAATGTATTTAAAAAACTAATGGTATGAAAATAATATTAATTTAATGTAATTACCGATTGTAACTGTAAGGTCTCCTTTTGCAGCAGCAATTGCTTTCAATAGTTCAGAAGCTTCAGTACTAAATAAAAATACAACTGGAATAGTTACATCGTCTACTTCTTTTCCATCTCCTGACATTGCAAACATGGGTGATGTTGCAGCACTAGAGCCATCAACATTATCTAACACTATTCCTGCAATAGCACCAGCTTTCTGTATTCGCCTTGCCTGTAATTATAAATAAATAATTAAACTATTTTTAATAGTTTTAAGGTATTTATTAATTGGAAAAAAGAAATATTTACCTTCTCTATAAACATACAATTACCCCGAAACATTATTGCTATCATGCCTGCAAAACTATCTGGATTATGAAGATCTTCACATGCAAAAGATGGATCAGTAAAAATAACTTTCCCAGATATTTTATTTAATCCTTGTAATTTCAATCCAAAATGTGCTGGGCCAGCTAATAGCGTAACCTTCTGAGAAGGATATACACTTGGATTTACAAACGTAACAGCCTGTGGTTTAGTTTCAGTTTGTTGCGATTGCATTTTGCTTATTTCAACCATTTCTTGTATAAACAATAGACCTTCTTCCGAATCTTGTGGTGTTTTTGCCTGTAAAATGAAATAAAAATAATTGTTACATCTAATTATTTTCATACATACATATTATGTGTAAAAAGAATCTTCTTTTACATTTGAAAATGTATATAAGAGTTGAACACGTCCATCAGCTAAAGTTAATGTTGTTATTCCCATATCACTTAACAATTTTAAATGTTCCAAATTATTCGCCTACAATTTAAACAAAAATTTTGAATCAATGATCATTAGAAGAATATTTATTATAAATTAAAATACACTCAAATATCTTTGTACCTGAAATTGTAAGGCGCTTAATCTCCTTTTTATTGCTCGTCTTGGACATATATCTTCAACCATATTTCTCAGAGGTTGTCGCACTGATGCAGGAAATAAATGTAGACTATTAGGACAAGTGCGATCCATTTCATCTACGTGTACCGTATCTCGCTCAAAGTCTTGCTTTATTTTGTAAATTATAATAAAATTATAAAAAATTATGGTGAACATGGGTTAAATATATTTAAAGTTTACTAGTAACCTAACCATGTATTATACTTACCAAAGAAATATTGGTTCGTATAGAAGCAAGTGTTAATGGCAATAAATGTCCCTCGGTTGTGAAAATAAATTCATCCAAATCTAAAACTAGTTCGCCTGGCTCCGTAAATAACAGAAACAAATATTTGAAAGTTTCCGATAATACAAAACTATCCATTGTATCATCATGCTTATTAGTTCTAACATCTGATACAGCTGCATAACCGCATGGTACTCTGGCATAAGTTTGTAGACTTTTGAGTACCTTACGTCCAACTCCTAAATAATAATGGTCACCAGTTGCACGGTAGAGGAAATATGTTGATTCTAAAAATTCTGGCCTTAATGGATGATGTCCCCAATGCACCTGAATACATTAAATGAAAAATGATTTAATGATTAGTATCACATTATACTTATTTATCTCTGCTGTAATAAAGTATAAACCTGAAAATCGGTAGTAAATGCTTCTGGTATAAAATTATGTCTCTGCATAACTTGGTATAACATTTCATGTGTTTCAACAGCAGGTTTGATATCACCTTTCAGTACCTACAGAATAAAATTAATATTTACTTTGAAAGAATATATAAATATAAAAATATTTGTTGGTATTAACCTGTAAACCAGGCCAAAATGCTAATAAAGCATCCATGAAATTTTTGGAATTTGTATTTGGTCGATGCATGTGGACATCTAATAACATCGGTCCGTGACTCACATATTTCATTATGGCTTGATAATGTTTATTGAATCGCCCAAGATATTTTTCATCACCTAAATTAAATTAAGAAATTAAAATAAGTTATTGTAAACTGTATAATAAAATAAGAAAAATACAAATAACAGTTACCTAATAAAATATATGCTTTGAGACAATATTCATAATAAGAGTCTATACCCGCTCCTACTCCAGAATCTCTCCTTACCCAATCACCAGAATGTACATTTAATACAGAGCCCATCAAATCCGTACCACGATGGCGCATTCTCCATAAAACATCCATTGCTTTTTGTGCTTTTTCCTATCTCATGAAAGATTATGTTACTATCAAAGTACTTTCTACATATTTTCGCAAAATGTAGTAAGAAATTATACCTCGAAAATTGATTCTCCCGTTAATCTTGATAACGCTGCCATTTCTAAAATCATGCTACCTGCACAGGCAGTACATGTTTCTCTCGATATTTCCAGAGGTACACCTTTCATGCCATATTTTAAGTTTATCTAAAAAATAGATATAGTAATGAGTACCGTCTGAAGAGTATTCTTTGTATACTTTATTCTAAAATAACAAAATTTTATTACTCTGCCATATGGTATTCCTGTAGTAGTATTAAATGCTGGTAAAAATCTGTACCCTAAATCTTTCGCTAAATTTAGAAGTTCACCTCTGTACCATGGCATTATATCAGCTCTTTGTTGCAAATATTCTGCTAATATATGGCCACTTAAAAGACCCCTAAAGTATTGAATAAAATATATAAAATACATATAAAGATATATCATAAAAAATAAGAATACACATTGATATCTTACCCAAGCATCCTAATATTAGTTTCAAATAAGGAAACAATAACATCTGTATCGAAGCTGACATCTCTGGCAACAAGTTTAACTGCATTTTCAAATTCCTCTAAATCTCCTAATACCTAATGCACATTAAAGAAATATTATATATAACTTTTATATACAAAATAAATTAGTTTTGTATGTACTTACCACAAGTGTATCTAAGGTATCGACCAATGTAAGTGAAAAGCTGAAAATAATATATAAAAATTAATATTTACTTATTTCTTGGCACAATCTATTCATTAATAATGATAATAATGTAATTAATATACACAGATAATGTAAAAAAATTATTTAGAACAGACATGTCATAGAACATCTTATATTGAATAAAATTTATAGAAACTGATCAAAACTAATTGTACACTTTATTAAAACTATACATAACAAAATCTTGTCCTTACTTTCCCAGTGTGGAATCTACGTCACCTCTATTTGGTTCTGATCCTCTGTACCTTCCTTTACAACTTAGTGGCATTAATTCATCAGCAGGATATGCATTATCCTTAAACATAAATTATTTCTTAATATTTGCATATACATATTATTTGTTTAAAATTTTGTAAACAAAATCTTTGTTTCATTCATAAGGTACAGGACATTGTTTTTATTTTTTTATTATTATTTTTCACATTTATTTTTCATAAAAATATGGAACTATTTTAGAAGTGTAAAATATTATTATTATTAAATGAATTCTATCTAATTTTTAATATTGTTATTGCCTTTTTCATATATTAATAAAAATGTAAGAGAAACTGGAGCAAAGATGTAACATTTTCTAATATCTTGTAACATACATTATTTTCATACAACAATTTAATAAAAAAAGAATATCCAATTTTTAAGAATACATAATACAATTTACAATATTTTATATAATATGTACACTCATAATTTGTAATTTCAATCTGCAACTTTTGCTTTGTTGTCAAGTTCGTTCAAAAGGAAGTACAAAAATGTAATATTTCACTTTATCTTAATTTCTCTCATATATCATACATGTATTTCAAAAGTGACACAACTTAAAAGAAATATGTTTTCTAGAAGAAATAAAATCTGTTTTTGAATATAATATTAAGCTAATATCAAATACATAAACCTCAGTATATAATATATAATATATAAACATTTCACAGTATGTATGTATGATATATACATAAGTTTCTTTCTGTTTATTATTATTATTTTCATCATATAATGCATAATACAGGATACGGTGCAGTGCTATATGAATCAAGAAGGACGTAATTTTTTACCACTCAGTTCTAAAGATAAATTATTAAGATTTTCATAAATAATCAAGATATATTTCTATAGTTAAAATATATCACTATATTTTTATAGTGATAACTAGAAAATTATGTTTTTGAATCATGTCACTTTTCAAAAACATATGGAAGATACAAACATCGAAAATAACTTTACCATATAAGCATTATAAGCATGATAAAACATATCCCTGGCCTCTTCCCTATAATTAAAACAATATATTTATCAATCTCTAAAACTAATACATTGTTAATACAATATAAAATTACATATTAATAATAATACAAACTTTAATGATTCCCGTTCTTCCTTGCTCATATATTCTAGTGGATTATCTTCGGATGTAGCTAACAATGCTTGTATACTGCATCCAAACATAAGTAATCCCCAAATCAACGAATCACAAGCCATTTTTTCTTTATATCAAAGAATATAGTCGCTTTGATGTCAAGATCTTGTACTTGTAATAGTATACATTGTCTTTTATCAATTATTATGATTGATACTATCAGATTAATAATTATTACATCACAACACAAAAATATATTATGATATAAAATGTAAATACACCAATCCAAAACGTTTCTTCCTCTATCTTTTTGTTTCTTGTGGCATTTCTTTCATGATAATTAAATCACTGACACCATAAACTTGTTACAACAAAGTGTGTACAATATTAACTGTGGCAAAAATATGATTTACACTATCGAATTACGGCTACTCGTTAAAAATAATTTTAAATGCACGTGGAAGAATAAAAAATTGTATAAGTTAAAATAAATATACTAATAACTGCTCAATATAGGTTATCAAAATTCTTGATCGTTTTTTGAACAACTTGGTGATGTGTCAAAATATTATTGGCAAATAACAGTAAAAATATATATACTTTAACACAAAAAATATAAGTAGACAATAATAACAGCTGATTGCGTATTTGTATCAAGGCCAGATGATGTGGCTACTGTCAGTTTGCTGTTATTCAAACGAATTTCCACTTCAAACTACGATATATACGTATAGGTTACACACCATATGTTTCACACAATTTATAATATTTTTATGTTAAATGAAATTTCTTGAAGATCAATTTTATACAATTAATTTCATAATTGTATTCTAAGAAAACTTAACAAAAACCAATGGACTATTTACAACTAACGAAATAATCATTTTCCCCCAACTAACCTCCTAAAGAAACTACAATTGATTGAAAAAATCACGTGACTATTTGTCAATTTACTAAAGTTAATCGTAAATTTAAACTGTCATACGGAACTTCCTCAGTATACAAAATTCATTGTATAATTTTTATTTTTTTAACTTTAATAATCTTACATATTCCAAGTAAAATATTAAAAAGGTAGGCAAATTCATTATTCGGAGTTTTTATGATAAAACATAGTTGAGTTGTTCTATACTTTGTTTCACGAGAGAACCGTAGTAATTCGCGCATCTCTGCTAAGTTCAGAAGATTCATTGGCATGTGTGGTGCGAATCTACCGTCTGCTTTTTACTCCGTCATTCATATACATGATGAACAAAATATACGAATGCTAAGAAGAAGCAAAACCAAATTTAGATGTTTGAAGCTTTAAAAACTTAAAAATTTGGGAATATGAAAAGATAGAAATTTTGACATTTAGAAATACATAAATCAGTGATAATAAGAATTCAAAAGTTTGGAGATTTAGAATTTTGTGGGATTTGAAAATATGAATCACTAAATATATACGCGCCGCGTCAAAAACATTATTAAGGCGCATGCGTGGTGCTGTTGATTACAAACCAAATTCAACCAATCAGAGCTGACATGCGCAGAATGAACAAAAACTCGTCGAATGCTAAGTACTATCTCTTATTGAATGAATGGATAGAAGTTAGAGCGCGCATAAATCGGTAGAAGCCGGTACCGAGAGTTGAGAGTAGCGTACGATGAATGTGTGGCGTAAAATCTTGACGAATATAATTGTAACATTTATTTAAAATATTCCAGTAAACAGAATATTTGAAAATAAGAAGAATGAAGCTTCTAACACATAATATGTTGACTTCAAAATGCTTAAAAGGTGTAACTGTTGGATACCCTTTAGGAATTGTAGTAAGTTCGAAATGTTTGTGTCGTTTGAGGTTAATTTTGGTAAACCTTTAGTTAAAAATTTCGTGAAATATTTCAACATGTCTATATTAAATGACATAAAATATGAATATAATATAAATTTGACCAAATTTACGTTATAATAATGAAATATCTGTACAAATTTGTAGGCGAAAGATATTAAAGTGTCAGAAGTAGATTTTAATTCAGAATTTATTGCAAGGATAATTCCAAAACTTGATTGGGCTACGCTGTGGAAAGCTGCAGAAAGTGTAAGTTATTTACTACTTTAATTGTTGCGTTTAAATATTATTACTTCTTAAAAATATAGTGTGTCAATTCAAAACTATCCTACTAATGAATTTTCTGTAAGTGAAATGACTTGTTTTTAAAAATGTATTTAATATGACTATGTATTCAAGTATTAACTTATTTATCATACTCTAAAATCAAGTATTTGATTTTGCTTCAAATGTTAGAACTCCAAGTACTTCATATCAGATTCTACATCAACATTAATCCATTTCTGTACTTTTTTAATGTATATGATTACATACTGATAATCATATGTTTAATAAAAACAGATAGGTCACGTTGGAGAGTTACCACAAACTTTGATTCAAGATTTTGAAACAAATGAAGATTTCCTAAAAAAAGTTCACCACGTATTACTGGAAGTAGAAGTTATTAATGGAGACTTACTATGTCCAGAATCTGGTAGAAAATTTCCCATTAATGATGGTATACCAAATATGCTCTTAAATGAAGATGAATTGTAATTATTAATATTAAATTAACACAAGATAAAAAAGTTAATTTTTTTATATATTTCTTTTAACACGTTAATGTTTACATGTTGTATATATAATTGTTTTCTTATTACAATGTGTACAAATTTGATTTTATACTTTTGTTAGTGTAATTAGTATAAAATATTGTATTAAGTAAAATAAAATAAATAAATAAATGGTTTAAATTGATTGGATTGTGTTTAATATTTTGAACTATTCAACAATTATACATAATATATGTTAATATCTAATGTTATGTATAAAATTTAATAACATAAAACATATATAAAGAATTACATGCTATATTTAAGACTTTTGTCAATAAACTATCTTGTAAGACAAATGTTGATACATGTCTTTATTGTACAGATATGTGTAAATACAGAGAAATACAATTTTTGCATTACCTTAATATTCAGTATACACCATTTGCATTTACATTATGTTTATACTGCTAAGTATGGACTGTTTTCATTAATTATTAATTTAAAATATCTAGGACGAAATTTTGTTTACCTATGGACTTGCTCTATCAGGGCAAATACAATCTCTGGCATTATTACAGTGATTATGTTAAATGAGAAATAATTCTGAGAATATTTAAATATATAGATTTTCTTTCATGTATTCATACCGCATAAAATTTGTTAAAAATAGTTTTGTTTCTGTAAATAAAGTAATGCGTACACGATAAATTGCGTGGAACTTGAAATCTTAATTACAGAACAGGTTAACACCATTAACATTTAACATTATTGTATGAGTACATAGTGTATAATGAATATCTTATACCATTAACATAACAAAACTGTCATAGATCAACAAATTACATATGATAAAATACATTCATTACTTTAAGAATAGCACAATTTTACTAACACCTATTGCACACAATCTTCTATAACATCTAATTTATGTATGTCTTTTTATGCGAATGAAGAGGAATAATGAGAAAATTGTTATTTGCTTATCATATCTCATAAAATAGTGTTTAGAAGAAAAGCATTTTCTGGATGGAAGAATTTTAATAGAAAAAAATTTGGCATTTTATATATTGACTAGTAATCGTTCCATAGCAACACATCCCAATATATAAACACCAAATCACTAGTGTACCATGTACACAAAATACCACATATAAACAACTGTATATGAGAAAGTGTTTTACATTGGAATATCAAATTGCAATAGTGATCTAATTGAAATACTTATTCCCCGTTAATGTACTCTTATGCATACGTGGCAATACTCAAAATATAGTCAAAATAGATTATTTTATTCCTTCTAGTTTCTTCAAGAGTCAAAAAGCTATAAAAATAGCTCTCAACTAATCTGCCACAGCCCATCTGTTACTAACTTTTATTTATATATTAGATTCTTTTCAAAGGCAGGAATATTCTTGATTAAGCTATGAAAATACTTCTGTACATTCATTTTAACTATAACGCATATAAACATTATTTCCTTCTTTTTTCTTTTCTTTTTTGTTTTTTGTTCAGCCTATTAGAAACCCCATTTTTTGTTATAGCCTATACTGTATCTGATAATTGCCTGGAAGTTTACATCATGGAAATGTAAATTTGTTTTTTAATAATATTTTTACTTAATATGGTTCAAAATGTGTATAGTTTACAAAACTAATAGCTTTCCAAACATTTCTTGCATAATTAATTAATTTTGTCTTATTTTTATATTTATTCGAAATGTTTTATAATACTGAATATATTGGCTTAAATTCATAATAATAAGTATCAATTTTGAAAGTAACAAAGAAATAGAATTAGTTTTTCTCTAAAAATTTGATTGAGATTCTGCTTTGAAATTTGGCCAGATAAAGTGCCAAATTACTCTCAACTTTCAAAGAAGCACTATATAATATTACAATTTTTATGACTTAAAAAATGTTAGTGTTGAAATATTAACGATTTTTGATATTTTATATTACAAGTACATGTAATATAATAAATTCGACAAACAAACACAGTAAAATAGTTCTGTGTTTGTAAACATAAAAAATTTTTTATGGTATAATCAGAATAAAATATACAATAAAATATTTTAACTTTCTAATTAAATTTAGCATATTTCAACACTTCATATTGGCAAAATAAAACGTGAGATTTAAATTTTATCTAACAAATAAACGTATAATACCATAAATACGAAAATCATTATTAATACTGCAGAATATTTCATCATATAATTAATTACTATTGCTATAATAAGTATTAATATGTTAAATTTAAAGTGTAAATAATTAGAAATTGTACTTACATTTGCAAAGAAGTTCGTTAATAATTCTTTTTGTTTAGAATACATTAGGATAATTTAATTAATATCAAAGGTCTTTAAAATTATCTTGCGACTAATTAAAAACTTGGTCACGTTTATATATAGCTTAAAAATGACAAGATATGTCATAAATGGAAGCATGGTAATATTTCCAAATTGATAATGCATAGTAGAACATGATATACTTTTAAAATGATTTAAAGTATTCTTGTGTAAGTAAACTTGAACACTTCTTTGCACATTCCTTTACAATTATAATCTATTTACTACCTTGTATATATTACCTTACCAAATTTAGTTTCTATTCTCAGAATATCGAACTAAACATCATTTAACAAACATAAAAGTATAACGAAACGTGTTAACGAGTAAACGATAAATATAATAAATATTTCCCAATATTTATCGATATGGTCTCGCAACTATGGTAATGTAAATTGATGTTCTGCAAGCTTATATTACAAAGATAAAACTTAAATATTTCAATCGATTAACAATTAATGTCTTACTTTAATTACGAAATCATATAACTTGTAACAAAATATTTAACAAAAATATATAAAAACGTGCATTACATAAAATAAAAATAATTTTTCTAATTTAACAAAAATAAAAATTAACAAAGAAACAATTGAACATATTTCATTTACCACGACTTTCAGTATTAGACATGTTTCGTTGAGAATATATAGAACCTTGAGTTAATCCTCTCAATGGACCCTTTCTTAATTCTGGATTAGGGCCTTTAGCAATGCAACGATTTGGAGTAATCAAATTTGTATCGCGGCCTTTTGATTTTATTTTACCAAATGTTTCCTTCGTCAATAAATTTGGATCTGGTCCCGACCACGGTGCATAATCAGGTCTAAAAGTTTAGTACAAAATAACTATATTGATAATATCTATTCTACAGAAAACAAAGCAAAGTATATATGTTATATGAAGACATATATTTCTAAATTCCTAGATCTCTATAATCCCATCTCCCTATATCTCTAACTCATGTAAACCATCCTTACCGTAAGATGGAAGGTCTGCATTTATTAAAAAAATAAATTTTAAACTTACAAAAGTAAATCGTTGTTGGCTCCTTTTGGTAAATCAGGATTTGGTCCTACAGGTTTTGTCAAATATGGAGATTTATATTCATTATCTTCTGTAGTACTTGTTCCTCGGGAAACTCTAAAAATCACATTTTTATTTTCCTTATAAATTTAATCCATCATTATTACAAAAATTTAATAAAAAATAAAACTGTGCCTTACTTTGGTATTTCTATTTTATTTTTAGATCGCTTAGATTTTTCAGATTCTACATCCTTAACTACTTTTTTAATTGGTGATGCAGTTAATTTTACAGCTTCAGTTATTGGTGGACTATCTTTCCTTTCATCACTTCTACTGCTACAAATTTTTTATATCTAAGTTTTATTTTATTGTTAAAACATTAAAATATATTGAAATATATGAAACGGTAATACATAGTACGTTCCATCTATTTACAGTTAATTTATTTGATTTTTAATTACCTTTGACTACTTGTACATAAAGGTCTAGTTGCTTCTTCCGTAACCATAATGTCTAATATATGTATTGCTTTTTCTTCATCGTAATCAACGCTATCCATAGCAAGCATTATGACTCTTTCTGGCACTGACTTATATTTTTCCATTAAACGTACTTTGACTAGTAAGTTGCAATTTAGACATTAAAAACCTGATATTGACATCTAGGAAGCATTGCTAAACATACTTACTTTTATTTTTTTCTTCTAAACTTTTCATTCGCGGAGGAGGAGTAGGTGCATTTTGAACAGTTTTCATCTGTAAATACATTAGATAAAATTAATTAATTTAAAGAACACAGTTGAGATAAAAGGAAATTTATTATATTACTTGTTCTTCCTCTTTTCTTTTTGTCAGCGATCTAGGAGCTGTAGGATTTCGTTTTTCATAGCCCAAATCAATTAGTTTTTCAGAAGCTTTTTGAACATTATTATCACTTTGCTCCAAAATATCAAGCAACATAGTTTCTTCCACTTTTGGAAATACATTCTTCAGGTACCTGTACACATAGTGTTTTAATATATAGAACATATAGATATACTTTCTCTCATATCAAGGACAGACATAGTCTACAGTACAAGATTCAACATTGTGCAACCAATAATATACTCATAAATTAAACTAAACATAGTGAAAACAATTATGAAAATAATTAAATGTTAAAATAAATTAACTTGAATGATTAATAACAAAAGTATATGCAAATATTACCAGTCATATTATATGATTTACATGTGTGATCAACAGATTAACAATTTAAACTATACATTCCTGAAAATTCATTGTGATCTACTAAATATGTTAAAATATTTAAAATATCAAGATCATTATATACTTTATATGTATGACATAATATATACATGCACATACTATCATGCTCAAACCACATTTCTCTTGAATAAATCAGTATTCTATCACATGCATGTACATCTTTCAAAAATATTATTGCACGTGTGTATATATACGTACACGCTGGTGTATATATTAAATTATATAATAATGTGTAATATATATTATACTTCAATACTGTATAATATATATTAATATATATTTTGGAAATTTATGTATTTATATGTAAATATAAACTTTTAAATAATTGTTTCTTATTTCAACATACAAAATAATAATAAAATTTAAACTCAGTTATTGCTACTAAAAATTAAACGGAACATATTATTAGTAATGTAAAACTGAAACCAACCTATGATCTGTGTAATTTATATTATCCAATAGGTGGTGTACTGTAAATCAGGAAGAAACTGAAAGAAAAAATCGATTCTAAATGACAAATATTAAATAAAAAAAAGAAATAAATAAATTAATAAATAAATAAATAAACAATTAAAATTTGCAAATACAAAAATTCAGATGAATGAAATAATAAAAAGAAATGAAAAACATTTAATTGGCCTTTCTAATATCATTCTCTGAAAACTACTTAACACAAATTCATCTACTATATATGGACATGAATATCTACTCAATTTTACTGCAAATCGGATTAGGATATTTTACATTCTCATATTACGCTAATATTTGAAATATCATAATCAATAAAATTTTACTTAGGAGATTAACACATTGCAGATATTGCGATTTTCAATTTTTAAATTTATCTTCATAAAAAATAAAATAACTTTTTGCTATATAAATGATCTGCAACATGTAATAGTACATGCTAATCACTACACAGCATTGAATAATTGTATCAATGAAATATACCAGATATGTAAAGTGAATAGGTAAGCACAGTACTTTACATTTTATCTGCTACATTTCTTTGAAATTATCATAACATACAATATCAACATCTAACATCCATAATGGATGAAATTGAAATTGTAAGTATCAGAAGAACCTAAGTTTCATTTTTGGGGAGTGTGGGGCTGGCCGGACCCCACGAGGTGGACTCAATGTTAGAGCTGCATGTATAGCATGCGCTGGTAATCGCCATCTTGGAATCGCATAATTCGAATGAACTCCCACAGGTGTGCACGGTCCTGGAGCACAAAGGGGATTCTTTTCCACTTGTAGAGCGCTGACAACCAAAGCTGCTCTGTTATGGTATCTGAAAGATATCAGCTACCACCTTAGCCCTATGTATGAAACAGTGCTAACAAAACTCATTGAAAAGAAACCAATATTTAATTGGCATAAATAAAACCACCAGCATAAATATAATCAAATAATATAAGAAATACAACTTTGTGCATTAATATAATCTGGGCTTAAGAATATAGAAAATTAGATCATTTAAAAGAGAGGAAAGAGTTAATTAGAATCTTTTTAATGGTAATCACATGGTATAAATATAGTTCTATATATATTAAATTTTAAAACTTACTTTTTCAAAAGAAGCCGAATATGTGTCTCAGAAACAGTTGGAAACATAGCATTGATTTTAGCAACTTGTAGTTCAGAATCAGTGTTCTGAGTTAAACTTGTCTCCATATTCTTTATTGGAGTAGGCGATCCTAATGTCATATCCCCAAGCCTGTTTGTCATGGCACTAACCGATTTCAAAGATAATGGAGTTTTCAGTTCCTACATAAATTATGTGGTTTAAACTATTGTGATTGTCATTTATTAGATGTTAAACATGAAACAATTATATTTAAAAAATATACATAATGGATCTAAAATTAATCATATACAATAAACATTTGTTTGACTTTATTCAAAATTATGTTTCATATTAATGCAATATTGACAAATTTTTTAATATTTGATATGCATAGATTTAATGCAAATTTTATTTATTGCTATTTAACATTAGTTCACAAAATATTTAATATAAATACCAACTGTAATTTTTTATGTAATTCTGATCTACAAAGTGTGCCATGCAATATGGACAAACTGTATTTTTTAAAGTGCTTAGAAATGAAAAAATATCATTGAATAAAATTAAATGATTTTGAGTGATACACATCCTGGAATGAAGTATATACATTCTTATGCATTGGTGCACAATTACAACCCCCTTTTTAATAACATCCTACATTTATCAATATACCAGTCAATACATTTTTCACTTTCTACAAAAATATATTAAAGTACATATAACTTACAACTATCAATTTAACAATTATTGATGAGATCTACAAAATTTTTAAAACACCCTTTGACCGTTTAAATTTTCATTATAATTAACATATTTTAAAAAATATTGGCAACATTTCAGTCAGCAAATTTAGTTTTCAGCTCTCAATTTTTGTCTAACAGAAAATTAATTAAAAAAAATAATTTTTTCACGATTTGCAAGTGTTATAATTTTATATATTTGAATAAAATATACTGCTGACAAATTACTTTACTGTAATAGAGTAGAATATAATAAATTAGAAAAAATTTAATTAATAAGTAGTGTACATAAGTAGCTCCTATTTGTTGATATCACTTAATTTTGTCTTATAATATTTCTTTTTATCTGTAACTACTTTAAAAATACAGCTTATTCCAATTGCATGAGATAACTTATGTATAAATATAGTTAATGAAAAATTGATTAATCAAGATCTCATTGTATTATAAACATATTAAAATAGGAAATGATAAATAGCACATTTACAAATGTAAATTACCTACCTGTAAACTAGGAGGTAAAAATGCAAGTTGCGGATTATGATAAGGAGACGGTGTTGGATAGATTTGTGGAGCTCTATGAGCTCCTGTATAACCTATATGTCCACCACTTCCATTTCCACCAGTCTATTATTTTGTAGTATATTACATATTTTATCCAAATGCAGCATGTGCATATGACAAGAATATACATATATATATTATAATGGAAGTGCGATTAAAACATTTTAATACATGCATAAGTGCAATGTTAAAAACAGCCAAATGTTAGTATACATTAAATAGATGTATATGAAGTAATAATATAATAAATTTAATGTACAGCAGGAATTATCTACCGACCTGCATAGGTATATCTTGGGAAGTTATAGTCGTAGCAGAACTCAGTGCCATCGAATTTTGTGATTGTATATACTGAGAATACTGCCAATATCTTACTCTCGGATCTTCCCATGTTGTTGTACGATTAAAATGATTTATAAAATATCTGAAAAGTATATTTTTAAATTGAATTGTAAAATTAATATGTTGCAACGTTTATTTGCATATCTTCAAAGCAGTTGTTATATTATATACTTTAAAATATATAAACAACATAATTAATAGTTTTATCCATTAATACATTTTTATTTATTTTTATATATTACAAAATCAATCGACGTAAAACTTTGATGAAACAGTCATTGCGTAACGTAAACCATTTACAATTACAAAAAAAAGATTGCAATTGTGAATTCTTTTTTACCGGAATATTAGTCAATAAAATGAAATAATTTTTTACAGAAATTTACGTACGGACGACCACTTCGTATATCATATCTGCATTCCCAGCCGGGTGGCAATTGACTCCTGTCACTTTCCTCAGCCATCTTTGCTGTATTTTAACAACTTGAAGTAAGCTCTTCCAGTTCTAATCCACAACTGTACATATTTACTATATACTACATTAAATTAAATTATAGAAATATGTACATTTACATACACATATACTTTGACATTCTAAATTCTTTTAGAATTAATTAGTTTAAATAGTTTCATGCGTTATTCAAAAAGCAAAAGAATTTTAAATAACATTATTATTTCTTATTTAAATTAACATTATATTATTGCTAAAATAAATTCATGCAGTTTGTTTAAAAATATTGTTTAATAACATTTCAATGTCTTTTAAAAAGTCAGAATCATGAATTTGGAGTTCAAATAAAACAATACTTTTATTTAAAATAATATATTTTTTTTAATTTATTTTAAAACAATTAGTTTTTCTTATTATTCATCAATTAAAACATTATTACATTATTTATTTTTAAAATATTGTTAGAAATATAATTTCTTTAATGATAATAAGTTATATTAAATATAAATAAATCATGTACTACCTTTAATAACATACATTTTAGAAAATATGAAAATGTTATTGCAGAAAATAATTATTATCATTTACACAGTAGTTTTACAGAGGAACTTTAAGTGATTGCAAAAATTATACAGATCTTATATTGCTGAATTCTGCTTACAGTTTCTATTGTAAAAATCTAAATATATTGTACTTTGTTCTTTAAGCTTTATATTTTTAACATTGCAATATTTTTCTCATCTTCATTTGTACAATACAAGTGTTCACTAAAATGATGCATTCATTAGGTAGGTTTTTCTTTATTAACATAATTTTTATACATCTGATATGCCAGTCCTATAGTTATAAATCCTAATGCAGTAGACTGGGCTGCAACTCTCAGCTGTATCAAGAACAATTGAGGTGGTATAGTCCTTGTCTTCCACTTATAGGCACCTATACCACATACTATACTTAAACCTAACAAACCTATTAGAAAAATAAATTAATTATTAATATGTATTATATAAGATTTTTACTGTAGTACATAATAAAAAATTAGAAAAACTATCAAATTAATTACAATATGAGATAATACAATACCAAATGTAGTGTTCTATTATAATGTTATATTTGTAAAAAAAATATATATATTTGATATGCTAAAAATGTTGTCAGATTTAACAAATCAATTAAACATGTACCAGCTGCAGCAAATGGTGCTCGTTGGATCTGTGTATATAGTCTATCTCCAAATCCTTGCTCATTTTCTAATGTTTGTCTAATAGCCTCTTCAGGAATTTCCATTGGTTCAGCGTTTATGTATCTTTTATCCATTGTTCACCTATACATATCAGTAAAACAGATAAAGGAACCTAATTGATAGATAAGGAGGTGAAAATTATATTGGTATAAATCCAGCTTTTAATAGTAGCTTATAATGAATAAATATAGTCTATACACTATATGTTTGTTCATTCAAAGAAAAAGTAGTATAGAATGTAACTTTATTTATATAGTAGTAAATTTACTAATTAAAGAGGTAAAGCCATAATGGCATAAGTGCAACTGTTTAAAATATTGGCTTATATACTTAGATACAATTTACATACAACTGTTCATTCAAAGTAGTGTCAATAAGTAAAAGTAATATCAATCACAGATTCACTTGTATTCCAACAAATAACAAAATTAATTAAAAATATGAATAAAGAAAATTCAGAAATTAATGCTGTACCAATATAACTTTCAAATATATACAAATGCACATACACACATACATTTGCAATACAAATATGACATACATGTATATTAATTTTATACAGATTTTTTATCATGTCTTGAATGAAATAATAAATAAATCTGCAAATTGACTAATTTTTCTGTATAAAGAAATATATTGTTTATTAATAATATAAAATATACATATTCATTATAAAATCTAATAATAAAATTATTTGTGTAAGTATTGATTTATATGTAAAACAATACTTAAATAGCTAATAATAAAGAATGTATATTAACAATACGTAAGTAACTTATTTTTACATCAGTATTAACACTGCACGTGTTAATTACATCACTGGTATTTCATCATATTGGCTCATTTTTTTTATCGAAACAATATGATTATTTCCGTTATGGAATATACCATTGTAGTGGTATATATCTACAGACTTTTTCAATCTTTGTTCTTTCATATTTCTATCGATTTTAAATAATTTACTGTACTCTATTATATTTCAATGTTAAGGTAATGACGTCTCAATATTCAAGGTTACTTGAAAAATAGATTTATTTTATAGTTATAGAATTATGCTAAATATATGTTAATTCATAAAGGACAAAATACATGATATTTTATTAAAATGAAGCATTGCTTAGTATTAAAAATTGTAAAATTTAACAGTTCCGATCGATAAAGTTAACGGAACAATAAAATCTTAGTTTTGATTTTTGATACTTTGCAATTTATACTATTATGTTGCTAATACAAAATAATACAAGATATAACAACAGACATAAATTGATTGACATAAGTATATTTATTAATTTTACAATTTTTTTGTTATATATAATTCAATTAATTTAAAATTACATACATGCATTATAAGATATTTGAAAATCATAACAGTCAGATAATTACCTTTGTTTTCCGAACAATATGTAAGATTCACAAATACTTCAATACTTCAGTTTCAATTAAAATACCACAATAATTGTTAAACTTCTCTACTTTCCAACTGTCATGACGCAACTCCTTACAGTTTCGTGAACAGACTCAGATTGCAATGGGTTGCAAATAAAATTCGTAAAATCGACCAGAACAGTACGGTGCTGCTCCTAACGGTTCATTCAAAATCTTATAATGTATTTATGGTATTTACAAATCGCCGGCAATTTATAAAATTTGCCTTAATTTATTTTTATGTATTCAGATTCACATGAGATTTATGTTAAATATTTGCAGGTAGGTGTACGTGTAAAAGGTATTAATAACTTTAAAGGTAAGGTTTAAAAATGTGTTTAGATGGTACAATCTAACCTACATATTTATTTTGAGCAATTCTTTTTCAACGATACAAGCTATTTAAGTGAGAAATGTTTTAGGGGTGGCTTAAACACATTAAGACAATAAAATATTTCACACGAACATAAGTTCCATTCAGTTCTATTTTCAAACATACTAAATTTTGTATCAACGCTTCTATTGCTATCACTCAATTTTTCTCAACTGTTTATAAACAGAACTTAGTAGATATCTTTTGTACAATATTGATGTATAATTTTACAAACATTATGTCTCAGTATCTTACAAGTAATGCAGAACTTATGAGCGCACACTAAGTTTCAAACTTAGCAGTACCGATTTTGTTTGATTATAAGACATTATTTACTCATCGTCATTTACGGTAGGTGTTATTATTTACTCAAGGTAATTAAATTGTTTACACAATTTTATTTAAATGTGTAGACAAGAATAATAGCTCATAATTTTATCAGATTTTTTTTCTAAATAATAAATTATTAGATGTATGAATAGCTGATTGCCAAACATGGATTTTGGAGATCTTATTGTTTCCTTCATGCATCTACTAGATTTAAATAGATTTTTATTTTCAGGGTTATTTGAAATGTATTGTCGATGGAATACATAATGATAATATTGAAATTCTTTATGAAAGAATTAAACAAGGTTTCCAGCAAATCTGTACATTTGGATATCTGAAGAATAAGATAGTTACTGCTAAGATATTCCTCAGCTTATATTCAGATATTTTATACAAACAAATATATAGAAATTGTAATCAAATTTGTTATAACTTGAATGCAAAGTCAAATATGTTTGTATAAATCTTTTTTTATCATTTGGATACATTGAAGTTATTCCCAAAGTATTTCTCATTTATTTTGGAGTCTTCTGTATTTGAAGAAGAGAAGATTAGGTCGAAATTATTCTATTACTACTTTATTGGTTAAATTGTGCAGAAATAAGTTACATTTTTTGATATTTCTTGTAGGTATACTCTAAAAATCTTACAAAATCAATTACAAAATCAATGAATGTCATTCAGATTCTTGCTAGAATAAACTTCATTTTTGTTTAGTAATGTTCTAATAGCTGGTTCCATGTTTCTAATAGCTGGTTCCATGTTTCTAATGTTAAACTCCTTCCTGATGAACTTTTAGACGTTAGTATCATTACAGACTCATCAAGTATTTCAACTTTAATAATACAGAAGACAGTTTACCACTTCCTTCTTAAAGTTAATTTAAGAAAGGAGGATATTTCATTTCTTTTAATATTTAATCTATCTTTGCTTATAGTGTGATACCTATTGATGTTAAATTTTTTTCTTAACTTTACCTTAAAAATTAAATTAACACTGTGTCTATTAATGAATACAATGATTTAAATTAATGGGACATTTGTGCTCGATGGAAATTAGTTTCTGCATATTTGGTTCCTATTTTACTTAATTTTAAATATAAATTTAGTTGTAATTCAAGTTGTCTTTTATATTTCTTTTTTAATATTGAAAATAAGATTTAGGATGACAAAACTGTTATACTGTATATTGCACCATTTATCCATATTGCTTTTGTTATAAACCTTTGATATAGTGCAGGCAGTTATAAACAAGATGAACATGAATGAATATTTCTATGGTAAAAAAGGGAAGGAATAAAGAAAAGTAATAGAAAAATTGTAGGATTCGTACTCTATCCAGTAGCTTTCTAAGCAAGAGATTTACTGCTATAGTTATAAAACATTTTTGTGTTCTGATACTATGTATTTTAGTTACTAGATGTATGCAAAGTTCAAGTCAAAATATCTTAAAAACAATGTCTCAGTTTGGAGAAACTTATTAAGGTTTTATAACACCAGATGCATATAAATTACATATGGTGCCATTTCATAAGTAATTTTTACACCTGTGTCTTCCTTTTGTTAGTTATATTGCATAGTTAAAATATGGTGAATGGGTAGGTATTGATCTAATTGAAGTAATTAATATTTTTAATTATAAAGACTGATTTTTGTACAAATATAAATATAAAATAAAGCATATAAGTAAAATATATATAAATAATCAGTATATTCTATACAGTATATGTGTAGGTATATAATAAAGCATTATGTGATATAGAATTCTTATTACGTAAATGTTTTCAGAAGTTATTATATATATTAAGTTATTATCTCTTCTGATATATATAAAATATTTTCCATACTTTAGAACGGTTTTTCTTCAAACAAATGTTTTGTCAAAAAGAAAAATGTAAAGGTGGAACAGATAAGGGCTTAATATGAAGTAGTAAGTTTAACTGTTGTGTAGATAGAATTAGATATTTATTTTTTTATACAATACGCTTATCATAAGTTATACAATTTTTCACACCTTAAATTATATCAGAATTTATTTCACTCAGAAATTAAAGAAGGTGATAAAGAAATAACGCAGAGGAACAATGTTTCCAATGATCAAATTTTTTGTAGATCATTTTCTTCTTATTTGACTGGTAGATATTTGATTGAAACCTCATGGTTTACACGAACCTAATTTTCTTCCTATCTTTTAATAGATTATTTAAACCATGAATAAATGTATATAAGTGTATATAAATATAAATATATATAATATATATATAGGTTCATAACAGATTACATTCGCACGAAATGTATTCTACAGTTTCTTCAACAACAAATTACATGTATATATGTATGCATACATGCATATATTTATGCACAGAATGCGAAATTTTGTAGCATAATTCAGTATGTGACTATTGCCATTACTGACACAAGAAAGTGGTTAAGTAAATGTGTATAGTGCATTTATAGCTTGGAGCTGCCTGAAATTCTTATTTAAATGGCCCACTCTGTATACATACACATATGTATGTGCATACGTACAAACATATTACAGATAATGTATTATACTACACATACATAATACATACAGGTAATAAGACATTTAAAACAAATCATCTAAACAGTTCAAACGCTTATGAAAATTGAAAAGAAATATTTTAAATAAAAATTGCTTCCTTAAAAACACATGGAAGAAGTAAAAGAATAAGTTCTTGTTTATAAGTAAAATCTAAGAGTATTCTAAACTGTAATTAGTTTTATATGAAATATTCTAAATCTATGTCATTTCAAAGTATACTAAAATAAATACAATTATTTATAACTGTAAAATGCGTTTAAAGTAATTACAATATGATTGACCACATTCGATAAGTTGGCAGCTGGAGGCAATGCGAAATCTATTGGTTCATATGCCAATTTATCAGACGTGTATATTTTAATTTTCATTATGATAGTTCATGTGATATCTTAGTCAGATTGAGCCATTTATGGTTCACGCGCAAAAGTGGTTTAAGTTAAAAATTGTTAATAAAATCAATAAAACTAGACTTATGCCATTCTTACACATAATGAAATGAAAAGTAAAATAACTTAATTCTAAGATAAAGCTTATAGTAATAAAGCTAATAATATTACTGAAATAATACAACTGTTTTATAGTTGTAAATAAATATATATAAACATTAAAATCAAATTGGAAAATATTGAACCACACAACATTCTTGGTACGATCATACACGAATAAAAATATATTACTCAATATTCGTTTGCATATTAAACAGTTTTAATAATAATAGGTTTTCTCAAAAAATGCGTTATATTGGTGCTTTGTTTTAAGTGTCTCATCTGTATGATACAAGTTCAATAATTTCCTACTTCATAATACATTGCATAAATATTTACAGATACAGTACGAACCTTGAATTAGTCGAGTAAAATAATTATTTATTTATTTAATTTTAATTATACATAAAATAAGTAGATCGCGGCGTTCACACAACGATTTATTAATTAATATTAGGGTGTTGTAAAATTAATGCAATCTGCACTGTTTCACAGTTACGTATATTACAATTAAATATAGATTTTGTTTTCGGTTTCGTAGGAATACAATAATGTCAATTATTAGGATAAACATATTTTTTTACGCTTAATGGTTAATAATTCTTATATAGAAAGGAGCCGTTCAAAAATTACGGACCACATACACTTTCTAATTTACATGTTTTGAGTAACTTATAAGGATGGATATATTGAATTTCTACAAAAGCTTGAATAAGCTTCACGATTAATGATATGCGCGAATTTGTCTGTTCTATAGAATACTTAATACGTAACAACAAGGTATTAAAAATCGCCAATATAATTACTTGGAATAGTTTAAATATTTCTCTTATGTAATGTGTATTACAACAATAACAACACATAAATTTGCATAGTCAACACATTTTAGGATATCAAGTATACTACAATGTTAATATTAATTACGCTTTTAATCGTAGCTGTTTTGCATAAATTTTAATTATTGAAAGCATAATTGAAGTAGTTGTAGCAATATGGAGGCTTCTTCACTTTTTGAAGCGAATTTAAATGAATAAAAGAGAAAAATATTTAATATTTAACCCTTCGTTATATGATTTTGCCAATTTATTTTGTTTTGTATAGTATGTTTGCGACGGAATGCAAATATACTATAAATCAAGAATCGCTTAATATTGACGTTAATAAACTTTATTAAATATTAAACTCGTACCTTTTATCATACGTTTAATAAATGTAATTTGAAGATTTTTGGTCCAAAGAGGAATAAAATAGTTCTCAATAAATTTTTAAGTTAATTATAATTAATGTGAATAATGAAAAGTACTCTTCTTAACAACCGTTTAGAAATAATAATATATTGATGTAATGAAATAAAATTTTACAAGGTAAATCAGTTTTAAATCCGCCTGTATT